CAATTTGAATGTAGGCCTCTCTTGATCTTGAGGCCCTAGGCTGAAGCCTAGTTAGCCTATAGGAAAATCCGGCCCTGATCATACTGTAGTGTAGAGTCCACATAAGTTTAGTGAAAGCTTGCTAATGGCTATAGAAGAGCACTGGAGAAGGTAAAACTGAAATGAATGAGTTAGAGGCAATGTAAACTCGCACATACATCCATATTGTTTGTAGAATAGGAACAAGAGTTTTGCAATGGGGAAACCACATGGATACTGTAATACTGTAGAATGATGCCACAGGCAGCAGTATTATCAACAGAGTGGGAAATTATCTGGAAAGATCTTTAGTGCTTCCCAGAAAAAGCATGACAGGATCCAAGTGGCATCCTTAATCCCCAGGAAGTTCTGTTTAGTTGACTCAGTAGTGCCATTTTAAAGGAAGCAATACCAGTTATTTAACAGTTCATTATTGCTGCCAACTTATGCTATGGGTTGGTTATTTTGCATTTTATAATTAAATCAGTTGCTTGGTAACACTGAGAAAGTTATTCTAATATATTCTGTGTGGTGACTATTATCTTATCATTAAGTCAGGCATTTGGAGATGGGAAGGAGCATCAGTGCTAGAATTATATATGTAAAAGTAGGGGTCTTAATGAAATTCACAAGCCTTCTATAGCCCCACAGTGTGAATCAGATCCTGACTTCATTTGTAGCCTTCTAAACCAACGACTAAAGGGGATCCTAGGCACAGGGATTAAACCATGTCTCTATAATTTGAGCACCAAGTATCCTCCCATCAAACAGAACCAGAAAAAAACAATCATTTCTTAAATGTACACAATTCTTATCTAATTATTCTGATAACAGCTCTGCAGAGTACATGAGATTGAGAAATCTTGGTCAGAGAAAGCTTCTATCTGACCTGTAATTGCTTCCTGTTCCATAAACCAGCAATCATGCAATTGAATATTTTTTTAATTGTCCCTTAATATTCCTGTTCAATTTTTTTGGCCTCCAAGTGATAGGGTTTTCTATTGAGCTTGTCTGGTCTAAGGGTAAAGGCACCCAGATAGAAACCAGGAGACTGTGAGTTCTAGTTCTGCCTTAGGTATGAAAGCTGTTGGGTGATTTTGAGCCAGTCATACTATTTAAGACCCATGATGTCAAGCTTTGGTGATAAACTGGTCAATCAATTCCTGTCACAATCACAATCCACAACATATGGACCAACATTAGGTTGGTCGGGGGGGAGAGGAGAAGAAACTGCACTTCCAGGAAAACACCAGGAAGAAAGGAAAAAATAGGGATTTTTATTGTTAGGGTTAGTAATTGTAGTAGTAGTAGTATTTTAATAATTGTGATATAGGAATTCATACAGGAAGCCAGTAATTAAAGTCCTGCTTTCCAGACAAATGGTAACAGAGTAGTTATGACCAATGAAAATATAATACTTTGCCATCACTGAATAGGAAACAACTTCCAAGGCAGAAATATTTCATATGATGAAATATAAGATATAAATAAGACATTTAATTTTTTCAGACATATTTAATGTAAATTGCAGGAAATCTTTATGGAAGCAGCATTATTTAGTCCTTATGTTAAGTGAAGATTTACTTACTTACTTTGCATATACAGAGGAGGCAGTGGCTCAGTGGCTAGGACACTGAGCTTGCCGATCAGAAAGGTCGGCAGTTCAGTAATTCGAATCCCTAGCGCCATGTAACGGAGTGAGCTCCTGTTACTTGTTCCAGCTTCTGCCAACCTAACAGTTCGAAAGCACATAAAAATGCAAGTAGAAAAATAGGGACCACCTTTGGTGGGCCGGTAACAGCGTTCCGTGCACGTTCAGTCATGCCGGCCACATGACCACAGAGATGTCTTCGGACAGTGCTGGCTCTTCGAAACAGAAATGAGCACCGCCCCTTAGAGTCGGGAATGACTAGCACAGATATGTGCAAGGAATACAATACAATAGCAGAGTTGGTAGGGACCTTGGAGGTCTTCTAGTCCAACCCCCTGCCTAGGCAGGAAACCCTATACCATTTCAGACAGATGGCTATCCAACATCTTCTTAAAGACTTGGGGAACCTTTACCTTTAGAAACAGAAGAAAGACTGTTTACTAGTTCAGCACTGTTTTACTGGAAAGAAATCCAGTGCATTCAGGACCCCAAACCAGGGAGAAATTCTGGATGAGAGAAGTTTATAAGGATTCCTAAATGCCAATTTAATTCTGGAGCCCTGAGTTTGCTCGTAGCATTTTAATGCACATTTCCCTTATATCAGTGTTTC